TGGCCAACTTTTACATGAAGAAATGGGGAAAACAAAACCCCTTAGAACTCTATTATTAGCAGGAATGGAACTAATAATGTTACTATAGACGTGTTATCAGGCCAGTCATGTCCACTCTGGGTGTAATATTCTATTCCTTTGTGTTGGGCTAACTGAGGTGTGTAGTCCGTGTGAAGGTGAGTCACACTGGAATAAAACCTACGTTTTTTGCTGATTCTTGTTTAAGACACTTGTTACCCGCTGCTGCAGATACTTCCGAGATTAAAATGAGAACAGAGATTCTGCTAAGCTTTCTGAGGAAATATATGAGTTTAAAAAATAGGGTACAGGATAAAATAACTTGATGAGGAAGTCTGAATTAATAAAAAAGTTACAAATGCAGAAACAACAACAAAAAAGGAGATGGTTGCCCTGGCTCTAACTGAAGGCATTCTGCTTTCTGTTTCTTTTGAGGGTTCTGGGATTTTTTTTTAAATATGTTTGATTTTATATAAAATCTCCAAAAACTTGCTGAAATATCTCACTCGGTTTCAGGTTTTATTAAATATTTTAAATATTTAATATTTAAATATTTAATATTTAAAATATTTTATTTAAATATTTTATTAAATATTCACCCCAATCAGTGTAAACATATTTCCATATATACAGAAGCAATGGATGGAATGAAAAAAAAAAAAGAGAAAGGAAGACATGGAAAGAAAAATCAGATTCTCTTAACCCTCTATGAGCCTACAGCTTATTAACACATGAAAAGTGACTTTTTATAGCCATATCGATTAATGTATTTGATACCCAACTTAATGAATCATGAGGTCGAAAATTGAATTACCCGGTACAATTTCTAATACTTCTTGTAAAAGGGTATGTGCCTTCTTTCACAGTTACTGAAAAATATGTTAATGTATGTAGCTATTTGTTAACTGTTTGCATTTCAAACATAATAAAGTTTGGGAAATCAAATCACCTCATTTGTTTTCATGACTTGAAATGCTGCTTGGGGGAATTTTTAGGCAAGGTACCAAGAGTGTCACATCTCCCCCTAGACAGCCCAGGTCTGCTACATGCTCCCGCCTGCCGTGCTCTCATCTAACTTGTCCCTCTGCTAGGTTTTTCCCTACAGAGCTCGACTTGTTAAGGGCTGTGCATTAATTTGCCTTTATTTTGTGTAGAGCCAGGCATATGCAGCATCTGCCCCGGGCCTGGAGCTGTGCTAGGTGCTGTGGCTGCAGCCGGGGCACTGACAGTGGGGAGGTGGTCCTGGCTGTTGGCTACTGAGCGTGGCTGGTCACCAGGAACGAGAGGATCGGCCCGAAGGAGACAGGTATGCCTGGGAACAGGGAAGTGTGGGCGTGGGGGTACATCCTACCCCGTGCAATTAGCTGGAAGACATTTACCATTAGGAGCTTTGCAGCCAACTCTTTCTGCAGCATTTCCCAAATACTCAGGGTGGCAGCACCATTTCCACCTTGGCTAACAAGGCTTTAATGACTGTGCCAGGTTTGAATCGCTGAGTTACATTTAAGGACTATTTCAGAAGATTAATCAGAAGTCCTCTAGTAAGGCAGAAAAAAAGGTTGCATGCCTTATACATGCTCCTAATGACTCATATTTTTAGGACTATGTACAATTTTTCACTTGGGGGTAATGCAACATACCTAGCTAAACATGTCATTTGCATTTTACACCTTGGTTTATTTATTCTTCATCCCCCAAGAGATACATTTTATTGCTGATTACACTGTACAGGAAAAAAAAAAGGAAGTAAAAAGTAAACTCTACTTTTAAGGGTTTAACAGAGCATGAATCCTCTCAGTTGCTTTTCAATTTCTGGGCACTGAAGTTGAGTTTTAGTTAGTTGTCACCACAGCTGACTCAAAAAGTTTCTTTAAAAAGGGTAAATACAACTTAGGTTATAAAACAAACATCCTGGGCAGCAAAATAATCTGGAAAGAGAGTGGGGAAAACATAAGTCTGAACTTCAGTAGAATTTGACCAATTCTCAGGAACACTGGGGAAATTCATCTACAATTGTCAGGACTTTACCCCGCTTTCTAGAAACATCTGTACTATGAGCGATGGTGCTCCTGTTTACTCCCAAATTTCAAAGAATATAACACCTACCATACGCCAAATTCTCAGCGAGCACTTGAGGGATTTTAGATTAACCCAATGAAATATGACAAGAACAGGCAGTCCATGGTCTAAGAGACTGAGCATGCATTTCTGATAACGGTATTAATAGGTAGGCAACCCATGCTTACTTCATTCTGAATTTGAATCTACTTTTAAAATTGAATGGTTTTTTGCTGGATTTTAATTATTATCCATGAGAAGAATGGATAACAAGTTATTGTGAACAAGTTATTTCTATAAATTTTTTATGTAGTGAAACAGCCTATTGTACAACAAAATATTACCCAGCTGACATCTATGTAACAGTATATCACTGGATTAAAGAGATGACCCAAAAACATTCAAGTTCGTTTTCCAGCAGGAGTGACTGCTCTGCCACGGACCAGAAATATTAAGACATGAGCAAAGGCTGAAGGTGCTTTCAGGGAATGAGCAGAGCAAACAGAATTACAGAAAAATACAGGGTCACCTGCTGAAGGTTCAGTAATACCCAGGCTTTTACTGAATTTATCTGGTTCACAAAAAAATGGTTATTCTTGGTAATATTTGGACTCCTAGTTGAGTATTTTGTGTTGTATATAACACAACAACTTCTTTTATTCAAAGCTATCATCCTTTTTAACAGAGAATATCACAGTAAAATGTGAAAAAAATGTGCATGGTGGTTTTATGGCTGATAAATTGATCATCACAAATTTTTGGTCAAATTTGAAAAAAATTCTATTTTCATCAGCTATAAAATCAGAACACATAAAAAATTCTAAGGCAGACTGCTTGGTTATTTGAAATATTCAATTATCTCCACATTGAGGCATGTGATAGTTTATTACTTCAACAATTTAATTGCAATTTATTATTTTTACAAGTACTGTTATAACATACTACTAACTTTGCCAGTCAGTAAAACTCACTCGGGGAAAATCAATTTTGCATTTTTTTCTGACTGAGAATTCCTCCTAGTAATAATGATTAGTGAAAACTTAACAACATGTGTGATATTATTTCCGGAAACACTGAAATTTCAAAGACATCGCCTTCTAACCTTGAAGAGGAAGCTATTTTTGCTGTTGTCTGTTAAGGATTTTTTTTCACTTTTCTCTCTTTTTTTTAAGCACATGAGATCTTAATTCCCAGCCAGGGATCAAATCCATGCCTGCCCCTGCAGTGGAAGCACAGTGTCTTAACCACTGTACCACCAGGGAAGTCTCTAAGAAGTTCTTATATTTGCTTCTTAGGCTTAGTAAATTACCAAGGCTTACCTTTAAATCCTTAACATTCTCACTTACTGAAACCTTTAAAAACTTTAGAACAGCTGCTTTAATCATTGCTGTTATTTTAAAAATTCTTTTTCTACATGGTGTAAAATCAGAGAAAGAAACAGGATGACTCCTATCAAAAGTGGCATAACTCTGGATACAAGGAGGAATGTCGTATGACATCCCTTACATGTGGAATCTAAAAAGAAATGATATAAATGAGCTTACAAAATAAAAAGTGACTCACAAACTTAACAGAACCAACTTATGGTTATGCGAGGATGGTGGGAAGGGTGGGGGAAAGGGATAGTTAGGGAGTTTGGGATGGATATGTACACACTGCTATATCCAAAATGGAAAACCAACAAGGACGTGCAGAGAGAACTCTGCTCCATGTTATGTGGCAGCTTGGATAGGAGGGGAGTTTGGGAGAGAATGGATACATGCATATGTATGGCTGAGTCCCTTCACTGTTCATCAGAAACTATCTCAACTTTGTTAATCGGCTATATCTCAATACAAAATATACAGTTTTTAAAAAGTGGCATAACTCTGATTAGCAATACTTGAGTTTATCTGAAAAAGAAATTAATTGATTTGTATGCTGTTTCTGTCTTCGTGTTGTGACATTTTACTAATTTCGTTAGTAAGTAGTAAAAGTGAAGAAAGTGTGGTTTTTGGTTCTTCCTGAATGTATCCATTTAGCCAACGCCTATCCTCTGTGGTTCTATCAGAATTATGTTTGAAAAATATCACATCACTTAAATAAAATTTTCAATTAAAAATCATGTCACTTGAGTAAGTCTAGAAGATAGGTTTTATGGTTGGAAGATCTGAGACTGGGTCTATGTTTTTTAGCCATCTTTTCACTATTGTAAATTGGATAACTACACACCCTCATCATCTGGTTGGGGGGAGGACAAAACTTAGCAGGCGGAATGTTATTTTTGTTAAGTTCATATGAAAAATGCCTTCTGAAATTTTCAAAGGAAACAATCAAGATTTCTAATCTACAATTCTCAACAAGAGATCTTCTTTCACATGTTAAAAAAAAAGTTCCTGAATCAATCTAACTACTTTCGGACAGCCACACTTGAGTTATGCTAATATTTCTACTCTAGACTCATTTTCATTGTCGACTTTTTTTTATTTCAAATAAACAGAAATATCGGTTTTATTTTCTTCAGGCTTATAACTATGTTTTCATTTCCTTTAATGGCCTATTTCTTTCTGGGTTCATCAAAAAATTCTGCCTCTCCGAAGTCTGAAGTAATGAACACTTATTCCAGGTTTGTGATACAAAGCGTCTTTTTCCCATGTTAAGGTTATTTTAGATTTAAGTTCCTTGTCATGCTGGACATGTCATGCTCATATGTAAATTCTTATTAATGAAACTTGTAATTATATTTATATTCAATGGTATTAACTGTCTTCTACTGTTCAAACATCTGCTGTGGTCTCTCATGGAGTATTGACCCTCTTCTATTTTCTTTCCTCTCTTCTGGCCTTGCATGGCTCCGTCTGCCACCATGGATGCCTTTCCTCACGTGTGTCTGTAAGAACTCTAGTATATCCTTTAGGACTCAATTCAGAAGTCTCTTTGCTCCTTATACATCTTTACTAGAGCAGTTTTGAAGCTGGAGTTATAATGACTGATTCACACTACATTCTGTCTCTCAGATTATGGATCCATGTTGGTAAGACAAAATCCAAGATTTGTTCATATTTGTATTTCTGATACATAAAGTTCAAAAATGTTTGTTAAATGGCCAAATGACTATATTTTTCTTTAGAAAGGAGCTACCAGCTTTTCTTAGAAATGGCAACAGGTGCCATTTGGATTTTTGTGTTTCTGTTTTCTGTAGGAGCGATCATCATGGCACCTGAATTACTGATTCTTTTGGGGGTGGCAGTAATACTGCAAGCAAATTTACTTCCTGATAAAAAATGTAAGCACCACCTATTAAATTAAATAAAATTTTTTTAAAAAGTGCATTACAGAAAAGGATAGTATTACTTTCTCCTAAATAAGACTCAATTTGGAAATCATGACTTTTAAAAAAAGGGATGGAACATTTATTCTTATCAGAATATCAGTTCTTTAAACATACTATATTTTAAGAGAGCAAAGTTGGCTGAAGTGCATATTTTATGTTGCAGTGGGAAATCATATTCCAAGTGTGGGTAAATGGGCACTCAGAACAAAGCTGCAGCTGGTGGCCGTAGTGGGACCCCTTCCCAGACAAAGTCCTCTAAAAGTTCTCAGAACCAAAGAATAGGAAGCTTGCACTATGTTTGGTTCAGAAACTTGTTGATCAGTGGGTTTAAGGGAAAAAACAAAAACCCATCACACGAGCCCCCATTAGTAGCACTGAGAGAACCTGCTGCAATGATGACCATTCACGTATGTGCACTGTCCAGTGATGCCTGACTATGAGCACTGGATATACGGCTCACGTAACTAAGACAGTGAACTTTGATTTTATTTAAATAGCCACATGTGGCCAGTGGCTACCATAATGGTCGGTGAAGTACAGACAGAGCCCCAGAAGTCTGTATGTACCAGGTGTGGAGGCAGAGTCGTGAAAAGCTATTAAATACTAAGTGTCAGTGGAAATGTGCTGACTAGTAAATTCATCAAAGAAGGTTTCATAATTGTACAATTCTATAAGCAAAAGAAGTGAACTCACTCAGTCGTATCCGACTCTTTGCAACCCCGTGGACTGTATAGCTGACCAGGTTCCTTTGTCCATGGGATTTTCCACACAAGAACACCGGAGTGGGATGCCATGTCCTTCTCCAGGGGACGTTCCTGATTCAGGGATTGAAACCGGGTCTTCTGCACTGCAGGCAGACTCTACCATCTGAGCCACGGGGGAAGCCCAACTTTAGCAAAAATTTTTAAAGTTGTATAAATGTACACTCAAGAAAAAAAAGATAATAAATGTATTACATGTTAATGCCACTCAGTGATAAAACTGTGGCTGTATTTTTTTTCCTTATTTTTTTGATCATCTGTGCTTCCCAAGATTTCTAAGAACAGGCATTGATTTTGTAATTTAAATGAAAGCTTTGATTTTGAAGACAATGTTAGAGAGTGGTTCATAAAGGCAGAAAAAACAATTTCTTTTCATAAATGCTCAGTGAATAATTTTGCTTACAAGTTTTTTGACCTTGAATCATAATAAGAAACAAATCTTTACATCCTGAACCAGTATACAAATACGTGACTATATTTATGGAACAGAAATAAGAGGTTCATGAATAGTATTTCTTATGTTTGATGCACCTGATATTTTCTATTCAATTTTATTCCATGTCATTAAACACACTGCTACCCACAAACTAACATATTATTTTAGTCCATTAATAGATAATGACCCTTTGAAAACTATTACACTTAATAATAATATAGTAAAATATTCATATTTCAATCAAATACCTGTAGGCGTTATAGGTAAATACCTGGGCAAAGTAAAAAAGATAATGAGCTAAAAACAGTTTAAAGAAACTTTTCCTAAGACTACTTCAGTGTTATACATTCTGATAGCATAACAAAATACTATACTACACAATAAAAGGAAATGGCAACCCACTCCAGTATTCTTGCCTGGAGAATCCCAGGGACGGAGGAGTCTGGTAGCTGCCATCTATGGGGTTGCACAGAGTCGGACACAACTGAAGTGACTTAGCAGCAGCAGCACACAATAAAATATTTAATGATTTTAAAATGTTCCATATAATTAAACATTGCATGGCTTTTTTTTTAATCAACAGTTTTACTTCTACCACCAGTCAATTTCACCATTAAAGCTGTCAATTTAGCTCAAGTTGTTTTACGTTGGGAACCAAATCCTGATCAAGAACAAAGCAATGTCCAGCTAGGATATCATGTGAAAATAAATGCTCCACAAGAAGATGATGTAAGTGTTTATTCTGATGGCAATCCTTACCTAGATTGAATTTTCCTTATTTAAGGAAATTTTAACTAGAAAGAGAGAAAAGCACTACAGAGCTTTCTGTTACATTCCTAGGTCAATGTCTCTATTGAAATGGCTGAGAACTAGAGCCACACAGGCACTAAAACAGTGGCACTAAAACAGTGGCTCGGAACATTTTTAACTGTGGGACCAACTCTTCCACTTAACAAGAAAGTTTAGTAACTTCTGAGCTACAATAGTTTAGATATTGATTTTATGTTGCCTCTAAAATATTCAAAAGAACAGAAGAGAACAACCAAGCAAATGAGGAGAGGGTCCATTGTACTTAACGGAAGAGATCAAATTCAAATCCCAGTTCAGCCACTTCCTTACTTTACTACCTTCCACCAGTCACTTAAAATTCCAGGGCCCCAAGTTCACTGCAGGGCTATATTAAAGCACCAGGTACCTAGCTGATGTGCAATAAATCAAAGGAAGGGAGAAGCAGTACTGTGTCAGTCAACACAGAATTCTAGACAATTCTCTGGCAAAAATTTACCTCTGGGGAGGAGATTGGAGCCAGAGATGGTCGCCAAAGGAAACTGGAGTCTGAACTGTAGTATTTTGTTTGTTTTTATAAGAAGCAGTTATTCAGGTATCCTTGGATAATTATTTTCTATATTTCATTATGTATTTTTAAAACATGTACCAATTGAGAACTAGGCAATTTGTTTATTCATTTTTAAAACCACTTTATTTTGATAAAAAGCTGCACCTATTTAATGTGTACAACTTGATTGATGAGTTTAGGGATAAGAACATAACCTTGAAACACTGGGTTTGATTTTTTTTTTCTAGCAAAATGATTGCATTGCATTGTGTTTACATGTCATTTAAAAAGTGGAAGCAAACTTCTATTTGATTAAATAGCTCTCTGAAGGCCATTTCTCCTTTACATATCATGACTTGTGGGTTTTATTTTTAGTACGAAACCAGGAACACTGAGAGCAGCCTCGTAACCATCCTTCACAAAGGCTTTTCAGCAAGTGTGCAGACAGTGCCGTGGAACGACCGCTCCCTACAAGCCAGCAACTGGGTTTCTGCGGAACTTAAAGCCCCACCAGGTAAGGCAGGTATCTGAGAGCCTGGTTTTAAATTTCAGATTTTTGTAAGCACGGGAAAGTCAGGAAAGGAACACACCCTGCTTTTCTCTAAGTTAGCCACTAGTCCCTAGAGTATTCTTTTACCGCATCCACGTCCACTCCAAGACCGAGATCACTTCTTAGTGTGTGTAACCCAGTCAATCCCACCCAGGGGCTCCCTGCAAACACTGAGGATTTTTCTCCCTCCCCGGCTCAGAAGACAGGGAGTCGTAAACAAAAGCTGAGCTCTCTCGTAAGTGGGCTCTAGGACATCTTTCCACTCCCTCCCTACAAGAATCCTCTGCTCTCCTCAGATGACTTCCAACCACGACCCCTCCACACCAGCACAGTCCTGCCTCACCCTCACTGCCCTGAGCTTACCTCTTCTGCCTGCTTCTCGGAATTCCTCCTGTACTTCAAAGCCCAAATCAACCGTACCTGCTCTGGGAAGCCTCCTTTTTTCCATCCAATGCATGGAGGGATGCTGCTCCTTTCAGAACTCATTCAGGGATGCTGCTCATGTGGCACAACATACAACATTATATTCTTTAGTTTTCACAATAAGTAGATGTCAACCCTGCCAGCCTGGGCCCTGTTACCCTGTGGGCAGGGCAGAGTCTCCTGCTTTCCTGCAACAGCATACAAACAGCATGTGTTTCAGACATCGTGTTCCCTGTTACACTGGTGGATCTGTTTACAACTCTATGACATCTCAAATGAAATTGAAGAAAACTGTGCTGACAGTTCTTAGAAACCATGAGACTGGATAACCTGAGTGCCACGAGGAAAGAGATCAACACTTACTATGTCTATATGGTCCTTCTGTGGAAAGCCAGGGTTTCTAATACTCAGAACCAGTAACACTTATGACTCAAACCTTGAAAACACACACACACACAGAACAGAGAAGACCAAGGGAGGACAGGCCACCAAGTCTTGAGATGTGTATGTGTGCGCATAACAACAATGGCCTTGGCTAGTCCGGCTGTGGCTATCTATCCCCCAGTCAAACTATCCCCTCATGTCATCACTGCATGAAAAGGCCATGCGCCCCGCGTCACGTGTGTGACTGAGAGCTGTGTCCTGAAGATCTCCCCGTTCACTCGGCAGAACATGATGTCTGGAGCACAGAGCAGCCAGTTCACAGGAGGCTCGATGTCACAGGCAGAGACTAATCTACGGTAGACAGAAGACCGCGGATACAAGTGTCATCTGCTGTACACTAAAGCACGTCTCCACCTCCCTGCAGTGGGTACGGGAGTGTGCCTGTAACAGCCTTTCAGAATTACGCTTCTGCAACCTCGACTGCTCTCTGCGCACACTGATGTGGGCTGACACTAACGGAAACGGCATTATTTCTGCCTTGAATCAGACTGAATTCACACCACAGCGTTCCTCGGAAGGGAACTGGGAGAGAAGCAGACCTCAGAAGCTCTCAACTGTACTTGGCACAGGTTATCTGGTCATTTAGTGCCGGGAGACAGTATACATACACACATATGCACACACACACACATATGTATACACACACATATGCACAAAACATATATACACACATATACACACACATATGTGTGTATACATATGAAAATATGTGCATATGTGTGTGTGTATATGCATATGTATACATATATAAGGGCTTCCCAGGTGGCTCAGGGGTAAAGAATGTGCCTGCCAATGCAGGAGCCACAGGAGACTTGGGTTCGATCACTGTGTCTGGAAGATCCCCTCGAGGAAGGCATGGCAACCCACCCCAATATATTCTTGCTTGAAAAATTCCATGGACAGAGGAGTCTGGTGGGCTACAATCCATGGGGGTCACAAAGAGTCAGACACGACTGAGCAGCCAAGTATGCATGCACACACATCATGTATATATGCGCATTCACACACACACACATACTTGCATGCACATACACTTCTGTACAGCAGAAACACAGTGGTATACAGCAAAGGGAGTCAGCCACACACATACATACAGCCCCAAAACAAATTCAGAGTGGATTAAAGACCTAAAGGTAAAGTCAGACAGTAAAAAGTTATTAGACCAGAACACGGGCAGAATACTCTTTGACATAAACTGCAGCAAGATCTTGTTTGACCCACCTCCCAGAATGATGAAAATAAAAACAAAAGTAAACAAATGGGGTCCAATGAGGCTTAAAAGCTTTTGCAAAGGAAACCAGAAACAAGTCGAAAAGACAATCCTCAGAATGGGGAAAATATCGGCCCACACAGCAACTGACAGGGATCAATCTCCAAAACATACAAACAGCTCATGAGGCTCAATATCAAAAAGACAAACAACCCAATCAAAAAATGAGCAGAAGACATAAACAGAAATTTCTCTAAAGACCTACAGATGGCCAACAAACATATGAAAAGATGCTCCATATCACTAATTATTAAGAGAAATGCAAATCAAAATTACAACGAGGTATCATCTCACACTGGCCATAACAGTCATCATCAAAAAATATATACATAAATGCTGGAGAGAATGTGGAGAAAAGGGAACCCTCCTACTCTACTAGTGGGAATATAAATTAATATAACCACTATGGAGAACAGTATGGAGGTTCCTCAAAACACTAAAAATAGTTACCATATGACCCAGCAATTCTATCCCTGAACATATACTTGGAGAAAACCATATTTCAAAAAGAGACATGCAACCCAATGTTTACTGCAGCACTATTTACAATAGCCAGGGCATGGATGCCACCTAAATGTCCATCAATAGAGAAACGGATAAAGAAGATGTGATACATATATACAATGGAGTATTACTCAGCCATAAAAGGGAGCCAAATTGTGCCATTTGCAGTGATGTGGATGGACCTACTGTCAAACAGAGTGAAGTCAGTCAGAAAGAGAAAAAAAAGTATCATATATTAAGAAGGAAATGGCAACCCACTTCAGTATTCTTGCCTGGAGAATTCCATGGACAGAGGATCGTGGAGAGCTAAAGTCCATGGGGTCACAAAGAGTTGGACACAACTGAGCGACTAAGCACCACACATGTGGAATCTACAAAGATGTTACAGAAGAACTTATCTGCAAAGCAGAACAGAGACACAGATATTGAGAACAAACATACCAAAGGGGAGGAGGGAATAGGGTGAATTGGGAGACTGGGATTGATATATATACACACACACACACACACACACACACAACTATGTATAAAACAGACAACTAATGAGAACAGACTCACAGACTCTACAGCACAGGGAGCTCTGCTCAACGCTCCATGGTGACCGAAAGTAGACTTTACTACACTGGTGTGTGTACTGAGTCTCTAAAGAGGCAGTGTTCTTTTGTGATGTTGCCAAAACTACTTTCCTTTTGAGCAGCAATCTCTGTTACTCATGAAGCATTTGAATACTACCTAACGAATCACTTCATTCTCTGATGCCAAGTGGTGCTGGAGGCCTTCCTTAACTAGCTCTCTCAGTCATAACTAGTTACTGACAATGGAGAGTCAGAACCCTGAGGCTGCTGTATACCAAGCTCTGAACGACAATCTATCACACTGCTCTTGAACTCTGATATCTATCACATATAAACCCTCCCTGCAAAGAAGCTGCAAAACTTCTGAAGTCAGAAAGTAGGGCTTAGTCATTTTAGTTCATCCCCCAGAAAGCTGACCTTTTGCAAACAGGGTTCTATAACTGAGTGATGACAATTACTTTTTGATGTCCCCAATCCCTATGGGTTTAAAAGAAAACTATCAAAAGCTATCGTGGCAATGCTTTGTTCTTTTAAAAAAAATTTTTTTTGTTGGAATAGAACTAATTTACAATGTTGTGTTACTTTCCACTGTACAGCAAAATAGGAAACAATTCATGTGTATCTGCTATTTTTTTCTTTTTCCAATTTTTGACCATCTAGGGTCTCCTGGAACTGAGATTGTGAATTTAACTTGCACCACAAACACAAAGGCAGATAATTACACACACACAGGACCATACCAAGTTTCTCTTCACTGCACCTGGCTTGTTGGCAAGGACGCCCCTGACGATACACAGTATTTCCTCTACTATAGGTTAGTACCAATTTTCACTTATGTGAATGGGTTGTTTCCTCCAGCCTTAAAAACTTATGAGTAATATTGCACGGTGTATATGTACCACAGCTTCCTCATCCATTCGTTCCAATGTAGGTATCGCTCTCGGACTGAAGAATGCCAGGAATACAGCAAAGACACCCTGCGGAGAAATGTTGCCTGCTGGTTCCCCAGGACTTTCATCAACAGCAAAGGGCGAGACTCCCTTGCAGTGTATGTTAACGGCTCCAGCAAGGAAGCTGCGATCAAGCCTTTTGATCAGCTCTTTGCCCTTCATGCCATTGGTAAGACAGGCCTGACAGAAAATCAGAATAACTGAATTGCAGAATCTCAGCACTGGGAGGGTTTATAGCTATCACCTAGTTTGGCTACTTACCTAATACTGAACGACCACATGGCTCCTGCTTAAAAACCACAGGGTCAAGGTCTCTCAGCCTCGGCACCACTCGTGTTATCTGGCCAAAGAAGTCTCCGTGGGGCCGTCCTGTGCCTTACAAGGTGTTCAGGAGCAGCCCTGGTCCCTACCTGCTAGATGCCAATAGCACTCCACCCCTGTTCTCAAGTTGTGACAATAAAAATGTCCCCAGACTTTTTTCTAACCTCAGTATCTAATGATCATTACTTTAAAATTTTAGTTTTACTGAGGTGAGAGAGGTAACGGGTGACAGATGTGTCCTCCCAGTCTCTGGAGCACGATAGAGCACTGGTAACTACAGGGACAAGTTGAACAGCAGATCTTAAAACTTACTCCTCTCTTTTAACTTTTGATTTTATATTGGAGTAGAGCCAATTAACAATGCTGTGATAATTTCAGGGCACGGCAGTGACTCAGCCATACAGATGCCTACATCTGTTCTCCTCCAAAGTCCTCTCCCATGCAGGCTGCCATATAACATTGAACAGACTTCTGTGTGCTGTACAGTAGGTCCTTGATGGTCTTAGTAATTCCCTGGACATTTCAAAATGTCCCCCTAGTTGAGAATCCAGGGAAAGTGAGCTCACTGCTAAAAGAAGCCCAGACCACCACTCAGCAGCTCAGGCTGGTCTTGTGAAATGTCTGCCCACGGATTCTATGATGGGTTGGCATCACCCCCAAACAAGTCTGATTCCTTCCCCACAAGGTCCCTCAGCTATCCAAAGGCAGCCAGAGAGAGCTCTCTCTTCCCAAACTACTGGCCTCTTCCCCAAACTACCTGCCCCCAACTTCTCATGCATTCCTCTCCCAGTCCTCTACCCTTCGGACTGTCTCCTCTGGGTGTTCTTGAGTTAGCAGATCTCCCTCACCATGTGATTCTCTGACTGAAGCATATGAGCTAAGCTTTCGCTTGTTCAGTTTTCAAAACTGAAGATCTTCTCCCTCATCCTAAATACTTGTATTAATGAAATTCATCGGGAGCCCCTCACATAGCATTTCTGGTTCTTACTGTTCAAGGCTTCCGTGACGGCGAGGTTATTAGTGTGAACTGTGGAGCCAGGCTGCCTGGTCACGGATCCTGGCTTCTCCACTCACTTGCTGAGTGACCTTAGGCAAGCTGGTCATTTCTCTGTGCCTCAGCCTTTTCACCTGAAATATGTGGAGCAATCAGGTCTTCCTACAAGGTCTTTGTGATAATTAAGTACATTAATAATTATAATGTGCTTAGAATGGTGCCTGACCTAAGTATCCAATAAATATGCAAAATATTACTTAAAGGATATGGTTTGTGACATATGTATCTGTTTCTACTTTTCTATCATCCATGTGTGTATCGAGTGGAGTATAACTTTGTTTAAAGAATCGGAGTACTAGATGAAGAGGTTATACAATTCTCTTCAATAGCATATTTTAGGTTATATTAAATGACCTAAAAATGTCACTTTCATGAAAACAGGCAATAAAAAATACTGAGAGAGACCTATGAAACAATGATATTAATATGAAAATGGACACAGCCTGGGACAGACTACGGGCATTTATTTTCTTGTATGATTTTCATTTTGAGACCAATTCATCATATTACTAAAATAAATAAATCTTCTCTTGGTGAAAAATGTTTTGGCTTAGGGGATGGCAGGCTCTGGAGCCAGTGGGCCCCATTTTTAGCTTGTCCCTATGATTCAGTAATTGTGAGATCCAAGTCACATAACTTTAGACAAGTCCACTCAATTAGAAATAATTTTCACCCATATCAAGCAGCCATAAAACAATCAAGTGAGATCTCAGGGGAAAGAACTATGGAGTTATAAGCAAAGACAAATTTAGCCCAACCAATTCTTTTTCTGTAAGAAAAAACCAAATTCTCACAACAAACGAAAACAAGATACACAAACCAAAATGAAATAAAAACTGAGGCCCAGAAAGGGGAAGTGATCAGCCCAGCCACACACCTGTTCCATAGCACAGGGCTTAGTTGGGTCTCCAGGACACCTCCCCTCCAGGAACAGGTTTACCCTCAGGTTGGCCCAACTTGGGAAGTAAAAATGGATGGTGGGGTAGGTCTTAATAAGTTGAAGGAAAGGGCATTCAACCATTCGAGACTGTTTAAGTACTAATTTTCAAGTTTACGGGAGAGATCTCTCCTGTAGCTGTAAGATGCGAGTCAGATGCGCGCTGCCGGAGATCTGCAGCTTGCAGATTTGTTGTTTTAAACGCTGGAGGGAAATACTTGAGAATATGTAGCTTAGAAATACCTTGAGAAATGTGGGTGGACTGGACTTATCAACCATGATCACCGAGCTCTTGTTCTCTAACACAGATCGAGTAAATCCTCCAGCGAACGTCACAGCAGAGATCAAAGGAACCTGTCTCTCTATCCACTGGGAAAAACCAGTGTCTGCTTTTCCAAGCCACTGCTTTGATTATGAGGTGAAAATTTACAATGCAAAGAAAGGATATTTTCAGGTAATGATTCCAATCATTCCATTATTTGATGGCAGATTTCTTAAAAAAAAAAAAAAATTCTTGTCCATTTGACAGCTATGGTTATAGCCTGTAACTAACAAAGTCAAAGGTAACATATCTACCCCAGTTTGTAAAAATACATCAAACCTTACTGGTTTTTTGTCTTGAAAGGACCTATTTTGCGTTGAAAATAATGTGAAGGATCAGATTAAAGTTCTTAGCACTGTTGGGGAAACGGTGCAGCTGCTATGGAAAACAGTACGGGGATTTCTCAAAAATTAAAAATAGAGTTATCATATGACCCAACAATTCTACTTCTGGGTAGATATCCAAAAGAATTGAAAGCAGGGTCTCAGAGACCTGTGAACAACCGTGTTCAGAGCAGTATTATTCACAACAGGCAAAAGCAGGAGATGGGGTACACAATGTAAATGTACTTTTACTACTGATCCACACACTTACAAATGGTTGATGGTAACGTTTCGTTATGTGTGTTTTATCACAACTCAAAAAAAAAAAACCGCCACCTCATTAGCCCTAATGCACAAAAAGTTCAAGGGGAAAGGAGCTGAATGAAAGTCAATATTTATTAAGCATTAACTATAAGTTAAGCTTTGTTAATACTTGGTTTAATTGCTCAGTCATAACTGACTCTTGTGACCCCATGGACTATAGCCCGCCTGGCTCCTCTGTCCATGGAATTTTCCAGGCAAGAATACTGGAGTGGGTGGCTATTTCCTTCTCCAGGGGATCTTTCTGACCCAGGGATGGAAAATCAGGTCTCCTGCATTGCAGGCAGATTCTTTACCAACTAAGCGATCAGGGAAGGCCCTTGTTATACTTACAGTTTCTCTATTATGTAATTATACAATGATCATTCCCATCTTACAGGACAGTGAGGCACAGAGAGATTAAGTAAATTGCCCAACATCACAAAGCAAAGTAAAAAATTGGAGAAGTCAGGATTCAAACTCCTGCCTTGCAAACTCAATTTGGTTTAACAAAGATTTTTACAAGCTGGCTTCTTAGTGGGAGATAGACAAATAGGCGCCATTTCTGCTCTCAGGGGGCCTGGTCTGCAGGATGCACTCACCCAGTCTCAGAGCTGCCTGACCAAGAGGCCACGTGGATACAAAGCAGGGGGTCAACAAAGCAAGCTGCCAGGGCCTCCACCCAAGGGGGCGGAATTGAACAGAATCTTGAAGAATGGACAGAAACCTGCCTAGTGGGAGAAGCAGAGAAGGGCTTTTTTAGCCAGCACTTGCCCAAGTAAATATGGTAAAAAACTGGCTTTCTTTTTAAAAGTTCTAACCCACCATATACTGGTATGATTTGCTAGAAAAATCAAGTATAGCTAAAGACAAACCCAGTGATCCTGAGCTTAGATGCCAAGGCAATGTCAAATTGCTACAAAAGCTCCCAAACTGTTGTTTCCATTTGTGTATTTCTTCCTTGAGGGCCACAATAAACAGCCCTCACTCATGCCAGTCCTCCAATACACTTGGCGTGGTCAAGGCCCTAGGCAGGAGTAACCAGGGCTTGAGAGAACAGGGTTCCTTCAGCCAAGTGGCAGCATCTCAGTCAGCTGGACGTAAGGCCAACACTGAAATCAGGACTCGAGCTCTGACATTAGTGCTTCTCCTAGGATGACTGAGATTCTGCTTGGAAAAAGTAGTTTCTCTTTTTAAAACTATGGCCATTAGCAACGGAAGGCACCGGAGAGTTTCATTCCATAGAGAAATGTGAACACATCTGGAGAAATGCAGAATTACTTTGGTAGCAGCATAAAAGCTGGGTGTGGGTAGAGGGGAAAATGTGGAGATAGAAATAGCAGTCTCATGGCTAATGCAATGGTCCAAGCAAAAATTGATGAGACCTAAAATGGCTGTGTTTTTGGAGTAGAGACAAGGAAGGGAGAAGTATATCCGGGAGTATGAAATGTGGAGGCCCCAGGGACATAAACTTGGTTTGGGGCAGAGGGAATTAGCTGTGTGGTGAAGACCCTGACCAGTAGAGAACATAGAAGGCTTTGTGAGAAAACAGCCTCAATTCAACACTATACAATGTTAAGTCTATGATGTCTATGACAAACTGGAATTTACTGAGTGTATATTATTAGGTTGAAATACCCCAAGTGGTTGTTTTTGCAGATCAAAAACTGAATATTAGCAGTTTTAATGTGATTCAATCCAAAATATCTTTAAGCTTGGCCTTTACAAAGTTAGGGCTTCTTTATTTGATAATCCATTGAGGCTCCGAGAGGTCAAGCAACTTGCCCTGCATTTAGTTAGAGGTTAGCGCTAGGATTCAAGCCCCCTTTTCCTAGGTTCAAGGGCCCTGGTCTTTTCTACTTCCTTATGCACCCTCCACACCTCACTTCTCCTCCCCACCCCCGGCTGGGAGTGACGCACTGACACAGGGATCAGCGAACTTTGTCAGCAAAAGGTCACAGAGGAGATATTTTAGGCTTTGCAGATCATGTTGCTTTTGCCAAAATTACTCAGCTCTGCCAAAGATACACGCAAACAGACATAACTGCATTCCAGTAAAACTGTTTGTGGATACTGAAAGTTCATGTAATTTTCATGTGTCACAAAATACTCTTTTTATATTTTTCAGTTGTTGAAAAATATATGTCATTCTTAGCTTGCAGTTTCTATAAAAACAGGCAGCAGGCCAGGTATGTCATAGACTGCACTTTGCTGGTACCTGTTCAGTATGATGGAAGCCATGGGATCTTGTTAGGTGATTACAGAATATCTTGGGACAAGGTGAGGGGAGTTACAGATCCTGCTATGGGCCACTCCACTCTTTCACTCTGGAAATATCAGTTGGACCCAGATGGATCACTGAAATCTTACAATTGCCTACTTTATTTATTTTGGTTGCTACTAGCTTTCCATCGAAGTCTGACTGCCAACACATCCATACCGAAGTGGTCTAGAAGACACTAATTGATGTGTGTCTTGTTGGTTTTAAACGGGTTGCTGAACACTGAGTCACTTGCAGATGACCTTCTGGTCTAGTCACTGGCATAATTTAAATACCATATTCCGAAGAGTCTTATCATATTATTTTTTCCATTTAGACAGAAAAAATGACAACCAATACACTCATCACCATAATTGATGATGTTTCTAAGTATTACATTCAAGTGAAAGCAGCAGTGAGTCCTGTGTGCAGAACAACAGGGCTCTGGAGTGAGTGGAGTCAACCTATTTACGTGGGTGAGTACCTCTTGTTTATTTTAAAGCAAGTGGCCTTACTCGTGGTTGTAACAGATCCTCCTGGAAAATGGACATGTTCACTTCTGAGTCTTGAAATGCCTTCATTGTCTCTACTACGCCTTATCCTATCAGTTGGCTTGCTCCCTTTCTGACCAGAGGTGGATTTACCTTAAGAACAGTGAAGTTGAAACATTCAAGCCTCTCACGAGCACAAGCTCTTTCAAAGTCTGGTGCCTATTTAGTTTTTTCAGATTACCTAATTCCACTTCTATCCAATTTTTCCATATGTATTTTTTTTTAAATTTTGAGATAATTATAAATTCATACGCAGTTTCAAAGAAACATGCTCAAAGAACTCATGTAGACTTCATTTGGTTTCTTTCAGGAGGAACCTCTTAAAAACCTGCACTGCAATATGCTACCCCAAAAAAGTGGCAAGGATACAACCCATCAATCTTATTCAGATTTAACTGATTCTATATGTACTCATTTGTGTGTGTATTTAGCTCTATGCAATTTTATTCCATGCATACGTTCACGTATCTATTACCACAAGGATTCCTCTGTGCCCTTTTATATGCATATTCATCTCTTTCCTCCTTCATTCCTAACACTGGTCAACTACTAATCTGGTCTCCATTTCTGTAATTTTTCCATACCTAATTTTGAATTCTTATTTTTGTTTCATTTCATAAAGAAGATTCCAAAACTGAATAAGGTCAGGGTCCACAAAATCTGGATTCAGACCCGGGCCTTCAGCAAAAACAGACCTCAATTCAGTTCAGTTGCTCAGTTGTGTCCAACTCTTTGCAACCCCATGGACTGCAGCACGCCAGGCCTCGCTGTTCATCACCAACTCCCGGAGCTTACTCAAACTCATGCCCATTGATTCAGTGATGCTATCCAACCATCTCATCCTCTGTTATCCACTTCTCCCACCTTCAATCTTTCCCAGCATCAGGGTCTTTTCCAATGAGTCAGTTCTTCGGATCAGGTGGCCAAAGTATTGGAGTTTCAGCTTCAGCATCAGTCCTTCCAATGAATAAGCAGGACTGATCTCCTTTAGGATGGAATGGTTGGATCTCTTTGCAATCTAAGGGACTCTCAAGAGTCTTCTCCAACACCACAGTTCAGAAGCATCAATTCTTTGGCACTCAGCTTTCTTTACAGTCCAACTCTCACATCCATACCTGACTATTGGAAAAACCACAGCCTTGACTAGACGGACCTTTGTTGGCAAAGTAATGTCTCTTCTTTTTAATATGCTGTCTAGGTTGGTCATAACTTTCCTTCCAAGGAGTAAGCGTCTTTTAATTTCATGGCTGCAGTCACCATCTGCAGTGATTTTGGAGCCCTCCCCCCCAAAATAAAGTCTGTCACTGTTTCCATTGTTTCCCCATCTATTTGTCATGAACTGATGGGACTGGATGCCATGATCTGAGTTTTCTCAATGCTGAGTTTTAAGCCAACTTTTTCACTATCCTCTTTCACTTTTATCAAGAGGCTCTTTAGTCTTCTTCACTTTCTGCCATAAGTGCAGTGTCATGCATATCTGAGGTTATTGATATTTCTCCCAGCAATCTTGATTCCAGCTTGTGCTTCATCCAGCCTGGCATTTCTCATGATGTACTCTGCATATAAGTTAAATAAGCAGGGTGATAATATACAGCCTTGACGTATTCCTTTCCCGATTTGGAACCAGTCTGTTGTTCCATGTCTAGGAATGGGCACCGCCTGGACTCCTATATTGGTTCTGCAGATGTTTTTGTTTATGATTAAACTGACTAGCTTATTAGGCAAATAAGGTGATCATTGTATCTGTCTGTGGGATCGGAGAAGGGTGATGACGGTGGCTCCGAATGAAGGGGCAAATTTCCATTTGTCCTCTATGTCAGACGGTAATTCTCTAAGTTGGAGAGGTGGTCTTGCACCATGAAGCTAGCACAGGCATCCCCTGTGTTTGCTGTCACCTGTGTGTATCCTGGTCAGGCAGGGGGGCAATGCATGAGAGAAGAGGACAGTTAAGAAAAACAACTACTGCTCCTCAGAACTCTGGAGTCTTCCGCAGCAAGCTCAGATTTCATGCTAGCCTGGTACATGTTAACTACTTGTTCAGCCTAGAATACATCACTTCTCTCTGCCCATCCACAGGCTCCCAGAGCTAAGGAGACAATATCCACTTCTCCTGCCTCACAGGTTATTGTGAAATAGAAACAACAATGTCAGTAGATAAAAGATTTATTGTTGACTACCTGCTCCCCACTAAGCACTGAGCCAAAGGCTTTACACGTACCCTTTCACCAATCCTATCCACCAAACTGTTTTGTACATGAGAAAAAAGAGTTTTGAACCATTTAGACAGTTTGCTTGACTCTGCATGGCCAGTAAGTGGCAGAGAAGGAATTCAAACCCAGGCTAACTGACTCCAACACCTGAGCTCTCAGCCCTACAGCACTGTGGCCGGGGTGCTACAAGCTAAAACCCTGAACAAATTAAAGACTCATTTAAGAGATCCTGGTAACTAACTGGGTGCTTATGGCTTGTCAAGCACGTTCATGTCACATACCTCATCCTATGAGGTAGTTAATGACAGGAACTAAAGGAGAGATTTCTTTCTTTCAGCACATGCTATGATTTTCTATTTAGAAATGAGACACTTAGCCTACAGAGTGTCTCTGCAGGACATTCCTGGGCAGTGCCCACTGGCCCATGTGGATGTCAGTACAGATCAAAGACACAGCAGGGAGATTTCCAAGGAAGGCTGGGGAAGACAAGCAAAGGCCCGAGGGATGGAACACGGTTCTGAGTCTGCAAGGCCTTGCTGAGTTGCTGAGTTTCCCAAGGGGAAAGGCGCCCCTAAAGTTGCACCACAGGATCAGCACAGCCTTGCAGCTCTGCCCCCATATGACCCTACTGGGACTCAGAGGAGCAGCAAGAGCCTTCCTGGGAGAGGGAACTGAAAGGAAAAAAGGAACTGAGAAAACAAGCCAAATGCCCCTACTTCATGGTTCAGCCAAGGCCAGTCTTTCCCCTCCCCCAACACCTTCCTTCCCAGGTTGAGGCCCCAACCTGATAGAGCAGACCCAGCACACAGCACCCCTGCCCCCCGCCCCGCCAACTCTTGCTTCAACTGCACAATCGAGATCCACTCTGCTCCCCAAGAGGGGACCCAACAGAAGAAACACAAACCCATGGCAGGGAATTTCAACAAGGTTACGAATTTCACCAAATGCCCATAGTGAAAGCTTAATTTTGATTACCTGCATTTGGTGGAATTTTGTCTTAATGCTTTGTCATTCCCCAAAGGCACAAACATCACTGGCCCCAAAGTACTGGTATTTCCAGGGGTCTTCCCAACATTACTGCACACACAGTTTCAGAGATTTTTATTTTTTCTCAATGCTGTTAGAGGACCTCAAACTAACTTGGAGATCATGGTGGATACCTTGGCTGTGGATCCAGTTCTAAAGTTTTAGTGTTTGTGTTCTGAATTCTCATCAGTGTTGACTGTGAAGAGTTTAGAACTTAGAGAGAAAGAAAGCGAGAGACAAATCAGGAGATCTAGGTTTTCGTAGTGGCTATGGCAGCGTCTAACTCTCTGATTGAAGTTAGAGATGCAGAGATAACATTTCATGAGCCATGTAATCAGAGACTATAAGGAGAGACAGATTACTTTAGGTCATCTGAAGGCAGGGCCAACTATTGTCACTCCTGCAGGGGACAGAGGGGCTGCCCCGTGACCTAGTCAGTCATCCCTAACCTTCCCAGGTCTCAGCTTCCTGCCTGTAACACGTGAACTTCCTCCTTTTTAAGTTCTTTCCAAATCTGCCTTTCACTTTCCCGGTTCCCCTATCCCCCGCCGTGACAGCCCCCTACCAAAGTGCTGAGAGAGATCCTGACCTAGAATGAGAGTTTATTTTAAGCTTGTTTTTAATTTACTATTCACTCAGCACTTTAGAGCTGGCACCCCATTATTATTTTCTAAACAACAGCTTCCCGGTTTGGAACTGGGATCATTATCCTTTGCCCTCAGGTATGCCTCCCCGCCATCATCACGGCAAATCTTATTTCATTTACTGCCACCCTGGTCATGAAGATGCACTGATTAATATTACCACTAACCTTATAAATCCATCCTTTCTGGAATTTACTCCCCTGCTCAGTTTAGGATCATTAGTGAATTTAATCAATGCAGGCTCTCCATCGCCATCAAGATGATTAATAAACTAATAGGAAGCCCAGGCTCCTCTGGGACACTTCACACGGCTCTTCCTTACCCCGCGAGGATGCAGCAATAATTATGCTCTGCTTGCAGCCCACCAGGCAGTGTTCCCACTCCATCCATTTCCTCCAGACATCCTTCCACCTCTCCTACCTTGTCTTATAAATGGCACTCTGGAGCCCTCCCCTTCCATTTTCACACCAAGACCCAACTAAAATACCACCTCTCTGTTAGGTATTATCAAGTCCATCTCCCTTATTTGAGGGAAATGGAGACCCTGAGATATTTAATAATTCAGTAGTTACCAAACAGCCAAGAAGTGGCTATTAACGGATAATTTTCTGAAACAGGTGACATATGAGTCAATTAGTAAATTGCAATAAATTCAATTGACTAGCTAACCCACAAGAGCCCAAGGATCTTGATGGAGAGAGACACCAGGTGAATGCATTTTGGCAGAGGAAAAGGGAGGATGGAGGAGTCGGGACTGCTGTCCGGCTCAGCTGGCAAGGTCACTGCACAGTCGAGGCAGCAGGCACAGTGGTCACGGGTCCGCCAGCCTCTGTGCACTCTCCGTCTGCCTTGAAACACTGTCCTCCCATGCTGGGATTTCCAAGGCATGGAATACTTTTCATTTATTCCTCAGATGGAAGAAGCAGTTTCATTTTATCTGCCCTTATTATCAGCTGCCCTTCCTCAACTGGCTACTCTGCCTTATCTGAAGAGCTAACTTCCCACTTTTCACACTTCTTTCTCCTTTTGTAACTTTCTTCACTTC